ATTTATATTTTAAATCAAACAATAAACTTGTAATCCACAAATCAGTTGACTTAAGGGCACATTCATGTGACTTTTGACGGAAAGGATAAGTTATTTTAGAGTGCAACATCTTGCATCGAGTTGATAGCCTAAATATATGTACACCCAAAAAAAAGCAAACATCTTCTATCACATTCAAGAGCCATAATGGCTCTTGATCACAGTAGATTAGGCCTCGAAAACAAATTCTTGGAAAACAAATCAGGCCGCATTTTTTTGCGTTCGACAGGTTTACTTTACAAATTCTTGCCAACAAATCTGAGGGTGTGTAAACCAACTTTTTATACTTTTTATACATCACATCTGAGGTGAAATAGTACTTTTTATCATACAGACCTCGGACAGAATACGGCATTTCACAATTTTTCAATGTTCAGGATGATCAAATCGTGGGCTTTTAGCGAAACCGTTCAAAAAATTTCCAAACTCACTCATACGGCCAGCCGGTTCTCATTTTTAGTGCGAGCTGTCAGTGTGGTCAAGTGTTTGAATGAACTTAATGGAGATACGCTTCAACATAATAACGAATTTATTATCATTATTTTTTGTTATTTAATGGTTCCAGTTATAACGATGTGTAATCTTATAAAGCGTTTGATACGCGCGACATTTCTAAGTACTCCTGCAAGCGATGTTCATGAACGATGAAAACAAACACCACAGACAAGCGATTAAAATTGCAAGAGAGACTACTAACAATCAATAAGAGAAATATAATTCGGTAAAACATTTACAGAGACAACAATTTTCATTCACGAAGTACAAGTATTAAAGTGTCTCTAAAAATCCTGAGTGTTTACGCTTAAAGCTTAAGCTTAAGTTTATTTTGTTTTACTTTCAGCCGGCCTCCCGGTGTTTGTTTTTTTTCAATGAACTCTTCGAAACTAGAAAATCACTCAAAGTTTTCTTTCTACAGCCAAATTTATAACTAAATATTCTTCGGAACGTTTTTTTTTCTATTTGCCGTGAGAAAATATATCTGAAGGCTATTTAAAGTTCTGTAAGCTTATATCAAACCTGATACTAGATCAGATCATTGACTCAAATCTCAACAAACGTGCAAAAACTTGCCGCATAAACTGTGCTCGACTTCATGAAATTAGATATAGCAAAAACAAACATCAAATACAATAATTACTCAGGCTTACCATTCGAGATTCAGTTCCTGAAAGATATCAAGGAAGGCCATAGTTGCTTGAGACTTTTAAACCCTCTTACGCATTGAGCAAGGTGAAAGACGAAAACGATGCCATCCGAAATCGGATTACTCAATTTTGACAAGCGACGCATTTCTCAACCAAAAACCCAATAAACAAACCAGCCATGGATAACAGAAGACTCTTGATAGCAGCTGTATTTCATTTTGTACATCCAGTGGAAAAAGATTTAGAAAGTTAAAAACATCACAAGTTGACACAAAACTCTGTCAGCTTTCGCTGTCAAAGTAAACAACTTTCAAGATGCTGCATAAATTTTCCGCGTGAACTCACCTGTCACATTTTGACCAATCAGAGTACAAAAATTGGACGTAGAGCGTGACCAACGCGTGACCATGGTAAGAAAAGGTCTTCCCCGCCTTTATTTTTAAAAAAGTGGCTGAATTTTCGAGTCCAAGGTCAGTTTGAAATCAAAATCTTGACAGTGTGGGGCCATAGTGACATAAACACAACATATTTCATATGAATCATTGGAAAAAATAGACTTGAGCCTGCGATCATTTGAAACTGGTAATTTGTCAGCGGATAACTTCAAAAAAGTACTCGACCTCGATGGGTCGACACTTGAGCCCGCGGTACGGTCAGGTGATACTGGTCAGCGGATATCCTGTTTTGACAGCTGTCAATTGATCACAATATTGATGTGCAATTAGTTTTCTATTGGGCTCCCAAACTAGCTAGAAAGTGTGAGAGTAAACATTGGTTCCCCTGTGGTGCGGACGGACGGTCGGGCGTACGGTCACGTGATTACCAAATTTTCTCGGATGGGTAGATTACCACATTTCCTTAGCTATGGGACTCCGTCCACGCGCGCACTTCGCGCGCGGGTGGAGCTCCGCTATTAACTCTTCATATGATCAAACTGATATCTGTTATCAAACTGTTGTTGCTGTTGTTGTTACATTGTTTGTCTGTTTTCAGTCATGACAATTGCAATTAGTTTTCTATTGGGCTCCCAAACTAGCTAGAAAGTGTGAGAGTAAACATTGGTTCCCCTGTGGTGCGGACGGACGGTCGGGCGTACGGTCACGTGATTACCAAATTTTCTCGGATGGGTAGATTACCACATTTCCTTAGCTATGGGGCTCCGTCCACGCGCGCGCTTCGCGCACGGGTGGAGCTCCGCTATTAACTCTTCATATGATCAAACTGATATCTGTTATCAAACTGTTGTTGCTGTTGTTGTTACATTGTTTGTCTGTTTTCAGTCATGACTACCCAGGAAAAGTTTAGCAAAGAACCAGTTTTAGAATAATTCATGAGTATTTTCTTTAAATGTAAATAGAGACCTTTAGATTCTAGGACGAGAATGGCTACGAGTGCGAGATTTCACTGAAATTTTTTTTCGCGTATTCTAGCTGCATTGTACATCTTTTTCACCAAAAATATTAGCACTGTTATCTTTATTGATTGAGGTTAAGCTATCTCCCAGCTGCAAAATAATACAACCTATAACACTTTATAACTTGTGCCCGCTAACACGAACATTCTCGCTAAAACTCGTAGTGAATGACGACGACTATCACGCCAAAATGACGCTGGTTCACACGCCCGCTTACTAGTCAGTTTTGAGGAAATCTCGTACTCATAGTCGTACTCGTCTTGGAATCTAAAGGTTTCTAATAAGAGGTTTTTATACAACGAAGATTAAGTATTTTATTCCTAATCCATCTGATTTATTCAAATTGCTAAAGTTTCCCTACAACTAACTCCCTATAAAGTCAGTTGTCACTTCGCATCAATTGAATTCAAAAAAAAATAATTAAGAATATATTTAGGCATTAAAACTGTTTCCTGTCGTCTGTTGCTGCGGATGGCAAGGATAAACGTGGATTAAAACTTGAAACCTCTTCACGTTTTACTGCTATGCCTGCAAAAATAACCAAAACAGTTTTATGGTTATAGCTCTTTATTTAAAATTATTTGATATCTTCTTCATGAGCGTAATAGAAAAGGCACTCAGTAATGACTTCAGCACGCAATTTGATTTGATTCTGGTCAATTCAAATGTTCTGGCAATATTCTCGTGACATAGCTCTTTTAAGTACGCAGTGTCTTTTAGTCCTATCTGGCTGTTTCAAATCCCAGATTCCTTTGACTAATGTCATCCCCGCATAACAGATTCTTTTGAAGAAGATGAAACTCAGCTGAAGACAGACGCTTTCAAAAAGTACAGTGATGAAAAACCAGACTTGCCCTCCCTTGATCTTTCAGATGTAAACTTTCCCAAAGAAGGTAAGAGTCCGCTTCGTTACGTGAAATGTAGATTTGTTGGAGAATGGTACTCCGTCATAACTACCTAACTATTCACCAGGAGCCATAATCGGGGTAGGAGACTGCAAGCGCGGGGTCCTCGCGGTTCCATCGAAATAGCCAAATGTACTACGTTTAGAACAAACTGCGCCACCCTCAACGTCACAAAATCGCGCGGGAACCTGCAATTTTGTGCGTTTGAATTGCCACTCTATTTGAGTGCGCTCTTTTCTTTCCAAGTGCTTTAAAGACGCATTAACCTATCAAATGTTCAATAATACATCGCAGTGACTTTATATCTTTAAAAGCTCCCCTTATTAGTAAGCGGTGTTTTATCAGATATAAAGTCACTGCACGTGACTTATGAATATTTGTTAGCAGCACAGCAACTGACACAATAAGTGGTGGGCGAATATTTAATGTTCTTTCAAAATTCACATGCAGTGAATTTACTGTTGCACAGAATTAAACTTCGATCTTTCACCAATTTAATCAGCCAAAAGTTCATCCAGTGACTCTGCGGTAATATTGGCGTTAACAATGTCCAAGTGCTGCACTCAAGACTTGTAAGGGTCATCCTCGGTGTAATTAGCAATTATTGAATTCGGCTTTCGTAGGATATGAAGAATTCTGCGGATCGAGTATGTTATCTACCGAGGCCAATGGCCAAGGTGTATAACACCCTTCGAGATCTGCAGAATTCTTCATATCCTACGAAAGCCGAATTCAATAATTGTTTTTTTATTCCTTCAAAATAATTCCAAGTTTAAAAAAAAATCTAAAACATGCTAACCTTGGTCGATGTGAGCTCATATCGATAGTGCATCTTTATCGGGAAGCTTAGGAGACATAGGTCTGTTCAGGCCTGCAAGTATACTCCAAATAGCAGATGTCCTCCGTCTTCATGCTGTTCTTGCCGTGTTTTAGATATCATTTCGCCGTGGAACGAGTAAAATGTTCCGCCGACTGCTCCGTCATTTTGTTCTATCTACCAAAACAACTCAACCTCATCCCCAGGTTTTCACGGTCAACGGTCCAATAACCGGCAACCAGGCTGCACTTTGGACGTCATTTTGACGTAATCGGTTCGCTATGGCTAAACTAGGTCAACGGTAGCTGGTTATGGTGAATTATGCGTGTGGTTTTAAACAATCAAAAACGGGGAAATATTTTGAATGAATAATATAATTTATTCGTTTTCTTTGTTTTATGGACTATTGTCAGGGTTAGGTTCATTCTTGGCTTGCAATCATGTGACAAGGCGGCCATGTTGGTGGAGTGTTGGTGGTCAATACAATAGATTTTTTTTTCTCTTAGAATTTACAGGAGAATAGGGTTTAGTTCCCAGAGGATTGAAATGCTTTGTTCTGGACCGTCAAAACCACCAACATGACCGCCTTGACGTCACGTACAAACCAGCAGTTGTTAAGGATGTTTAATTTTCTTTATTTTACGTCAGCTGTGAGTAAATAACAATTACTCACCGAAATGGAGGTGGCTAGTGGTGGATATTAACAGAGACCGCGTTAGCCGCGAGGTAAATAATCCACCTCTAGCCACCGACACTGAAAATGATGATTTTTAACTCATTTACTGTTGCCTGCAACGATTACAATTTTTGCGCGCAATGACCGAACGGCTGCGGTCGTCGCTTTTTTCTTGCCGACAAATAAAACTTTTGAAGGCATTTGTTTAGTTCTTCCGGGTAAATTTTCTTAAAAGGAGTTGTGAATTCTTTTTGTATTTAAAATCATTCTGCAAAAAAATTGTTAAATTTAGTTTTAAGCTTATTTATGAACAAGTCAACTAAATAAAGTAACGCAAGACTTAAGCTTAATTTGCATTTGTAAACAAAAAACGTTTTCGCCGGTTTTATCGACAAATTCAAGTCAAAAAGACAAAGCTTTACCTGTTAAAACTTCCACCCCGAACTTCGCAACCTTCTTCGTGTATTTCGGGAACAGCTTGCTTGATTAGTTGTGAATTTCAAATTTCTTTGTTTGTTACGGCAGCAAACCGGGAAAGCATTTTGCTCGAAACTTACGCGAGTTTGGTGTCGCTCGCTCGGAGGAACTGGAGGTGAATCAGTGAATAGTGCACGATATTCACTGATTGAGTAGCCAATCAGAGCGCGCGAAAAACACTATCCACTGTTTTAGTATATTCTAATAAACTGTGTTACACCGGAGATGAGCCACTTGTCAGTTGTGAACAGCCAAGCCTCGAGTACCGGATTTTTTTTCCTACCATATACGCAGAATCCTAGAAAAAAGTGTATCATTAAGAAGAATATCCCAAAGCGTATGCGTTGTTTGAACTAAAGGTGCAACTTGCTTTAATTCAAGTTTATCTTATCCTCTGAAGGTGACTCCACCCAGTTATTTTGTGGGGGTACCTCCCTACTTTAAAGCTCTCTGGTATCCCCACCTTTACTTTGATCGTAAGTCTAACATATAGCATGGATAACATATAGATCAATCTACAATACAGCATAAAATTTTTGGCGATCGGAGTAAATGTCGCGTGGTTATAGTGCCACGCCTCTTTGGGGTCTGAGTTCAAATTCTGCTGTTGCCGGCATTTTCTCGTGAAAATCTCTCGGCCTTACATAGTGCGCATTAGTGTCTTGCGTTGAACAGAGTTTCAGCAAAATCGCAAAGACCCAATGTGAGAAATTTAGGTCATAATTTATGTGAAAATGATAAGCAAACTTTACACGATTATATCTAATAAGCTATGCGATTTATCCCTTTATTTTGGGGATCTTTATAACAGATGGGTCCTTGCAAGTCAGCAAAGAGCTTTAGGGCCTTGTAAATGCGCGCGATTTCGAGCAATACAAACATATAGAAATTATAGTTTTAGCTATTTGTTGACGTTTGTCAGCGTTTAACACTTCTTCTCACGAAAAAGTCATTTTCCTAAAAATTAGTAGTTTTTTTTCCTTCAAATTTTTTCAGGGTCACAATTGATTAACTAACTACCCGGACTCTGAATTTCATGGTCATTGAAAAACTGTGACATTATCTTTTAGAAGCCCAAACTTGAGTAAACATTGAAGATTTTTAGCGTTTTCGATGAGTTTGTGCTTTGGGAGTTTTCTATCGTTTCTAGTCTGTCATGATACAGCATTCTTGTTCAGCACGGGTGCAATGACCGCGCTTGGCTGACATCCGAATGCTCACCGAGATATGATAATTTTGGTACAGTGAGACAGGCGATCGCGTGATACATAGAGATTTATTAAACTCACAATTTTTAATCAATTCTCGAACTTCTTGTACCTTTGCAAAAAAATCAAGAAATGCTACACACTAAATCTACTCACTATTCAAAAAGTGTCATTTTTTCATAGGTTTAATGCAAGCCAATAATTAAACCAACCTCGTGAGGGAAATCCCCTCCTACTAAATTATCATATCTCGGTGAGCATCCGGAAGTCAACCAAGCGCGGTCGTTGCACGCGTGCTGAATAAGAATGCTGTATCATGACAGACTAGAAACAATAGAAAACTCCCAAAGCACAAACTCATCCAAAACGCTAAAAATCTTACCATCACATTCACGGGCAGTTTGCTAATGGGGATAATGAGAAGAATAAGACAATTGTTACATCTGGCTTCATCTTTATTCCCAAGTGGTAAACTTCCCGTGCGAATGTGATGGCAAGTCTAAAAAGCTATAATTTTTAATTCCAAATTCGTTCAATGTTTGCTGCCCTGTTTGTTTGAAGTTGGCGCTTTCAGAGAGATATAAACCTTGTCAGGGATGCATTTTTAATCTCCCACCATAACCATTTCAATTGGTAAACTTCCCGTGCGAATGTGATGGCAAGTCTAAAAAGTTTGAATAAATTACCAAATACAACGGTTTTCATTGCAGCTGAAAAATAGATGGTTAGAAGTACTGGAGCTGGTGGCCTTATTTCTCCTCAAAACGGGAACCTGCGACGCTAAAACTCTAGACAGTTTTTCGTAGACGTTATATTTTGCTTTGTTAAGATTTGTTTCCAAAAGAGAGGGACAAATACAACTTAAGTTTGGTAAATAGAAGTTCTTTAATACTACCGCGCACTCAGGATAACGTTGTTCTTCTTGTAGTGCTAACTATGTTCGCCGTAGGTTTCTTATTGCCCTGTTTCTTGCAGTAAAGCTTTAGGTAGGAATATCCTTTCAGATAGGAGATACTCTGTCAGCACTCTACCTCTATTCGTGCGTCAACCTTCACAAATGCGTTAGCGTAGCATCTTAAGGTTAAATTTGATCAGCATTTTGTGGAGCGAGTTCTACGGTCAAGATTGTCAGGGGATTTCGAAGTTATTTACATTTTTCGTAAAAATGCGTTTTTAAATATATGCCGATATCTCAAAGGTTTTTATATCTACAAGAAAACAAATAAAATTTTCTTAAGGTTCCATCATTTATTTGGTATGCCAAAAATCATAGGAATCAGTTGAATCTTTCATTCTGAAAAACGCAAATCAAAAACATAACCGACACGCATATAAATAGGTTAGGGCCACCTTCAGTCATTTTGTCCACCGAAAGTTAAAAGCGGAAACGCTTTCGATCGCATCTTAGAATTCCAAACATAAGCCCCTCCGAATATGAGCCCCCACCCCCACCTCCATTTGAAGTATAAAAACAAGCCTCATACAATACGCCCCTTGGGCCCGTTTCTCCATTGAAACCCCTGAATTTAAACAGTAACACTTTCCGGGTACGTTAATTATTGGAACTTCGGGAAAAAGGCGCCCTGAGCAGTTTTATTTGGGAATTACCATCATCTATGAACTAAACGAAATTAAAGCAATTTACACATGATCATGCTCAATTCGTTCAATGTTTGCTGCCCTGTTTGTTTGAAGTTGGCGCTTTCAGAGAGATATAAACCTTGTCAGGGATGCATTTTTAATCTCCCACCATAACCATTTCAATTGGTTTGACTATCAAAGAGTTTTAGTACTTTGTAAGCCTTAAAACTTTGTACAAAAATGCAAACTCAGGCAAGCAAAGGTACGAGACTGTCGATAGAATAAAGGTCAACTCTGTTATATAGATATTCGATTCGTCAACTGAGGATGGAGAAAGCGTAAACCGACGAATACAACCGTCTTTATTCTAAGCTACATCCCACGATGAATCCCGGAAACTTTATGCGATGCCTTCCTCATCAGACCACAAACCAAAGAACAAACCATCAAACCAGCTTTTCCTTCAGAGGAGTATCTTGATGGCACCTTTATTACTTCGGCGGAGCGCGAAGTAAAGGATTCGCGACGCTCAGGAGTGTATCAAAGTTGACTTTTTTTGACAAGATTGGGCACGCAAAGTCTGTAGGTTTTCGGTTTTATTCGGCTGTTTGACGAAGTAAGAGCCGAATTAGTTCGAGATATCTCGAGATCACTTCGATTTCTTTGATTTATTCTTTAACTTTTTCGAGGACGAAAGAATTATTATTTTGGCTTTCCCGGGGTTTGAACCGACTCACCTGTGTGACCCGTCAGATCAGAGGAGATTCTAAGTTGAGGGATTAGCCGATTGCGCTACTGCGAACGAAGGTGATGCAATAGTTTCAAGACAAGATTGGGTTTGCAAGTTCGTGACTTTTCGGCTTGTTTTGGCAATTTCACGAAATGAGACCGGACTACTTCGTGATATCTTGAGATCACTTCGAGTTTAGTCTGTAATTTACTCTAAGAATAAATAGAGGATATTACGTGGCCGCAGAGAGACACGAAATTTCTCTTCGAGTGTTGAAAAACATTTTACGAGTGAGCCCTCATTTCGAACTGTTTTATGATGAATTTAAAGTTACAAAATGCTGCACAAAGACATTTTGTCTTTGTTGAGGGTTACGTAGTGAAATTGCTCTCATGCGTTGCGTGACTTTCTCGAACGTTCTCTACGTTTTTGGATTATTCATGAATAATTAATTAGGGCATTTTTTACATTTCAGCATGAGTCAGCAGATTTGCATCAGTTACTGAAATCATAAAATATGTCGAAAAGCTACAGTAAACTACTATTCGCCTGTTTAGTATTTTCTAGAACCTTATGTCAAACGGTATACAAGTTCCAAGCGAGTTGTTTTGACGAACTAAGTTTTTTTCCCACGACCTGGACTGCTGTGTTTAATCAAGTGTGACGAAAGGTCTGTGTTTACAAGTTGGCGGATGCCGTAAGATATCTGAAGTTCAAGTGAGAGTTTGTTATTATTGGCAGAGGCTGTTTAGTTTTACTTAAGTTCAAATCAAGTTTGTGTTGGCGGATGCCGTGTTTTAAAGGTCTGTAAAGGCTATGTTCCCCTGGTATTAAACTTCCTTGTGTTAATCCGACATCCCTGCGTGCTGATAGTCAGTGAATAATTATCCTCAACACATTCGAACTCGTAGCATTGAGTTTTAGCCAATTTCATGCTCAACGTGATTGACTTCTTACCCATGCCGTACATAATTATCTTTAATCAGTACATGAGAACTGCTATGATGTTTTTGAAGCCTGATGTGACTAAGAAAAATAGAGAATTCTTTTTTCACTGTTTGTTCTGTTAGACTTGTTAGTCACCGCCGGTAACCTCGTATTTGACTTAGGTCTAAACGTTTAGACAGAAGTCAAATTTGGAAGGATCTGTATGGAGTCATCAGAGCATAACTGGGCTAATATCTCAGAGACAATTTGTCTCGAAATGCCAGTTTTTGGCAAGTAGGCCTCTTTGATATTTCTCTTTTCAGAATATCCTGATAAATCCCATATTTTCACAAATTAACACCTTACTCTTACCATATTTCATTCTTACAATTCCTCCACATTTACAATTAATCAGTTCCACAACCACGACGCCGAAGTGCACGCTCCGTAGCGTCTTGTTTCATTTTGTAACGGTGCTGTAGAAGTACACGAAAAGTGAAAAACTAAAAATTACACAAAGGTTCACTTGCTGGCAAACAAAGTTCAAGATGCTGCATAGTTTTGACGGCTGAATTTACCTGTCAAAGTTTTAAACAGTCTAAGATTAGATAGGTCCTGGAGCGTAACCAAACGCGTGACCAAGCTAAAACCAAATCCTCAAAAGTTAAAAACAAGAAACTTAAATCTAGATTTTTACAGCAGTAACTCATTGTGTTACCTCTAAACGGGTTGATTTTACACCAAGACAAACACAAGTTACATGTGTGGGACTCCCTTAACCTCCTTTACTGAGACTCCTGTCCCCCACCCCCAAAATCTGTGCGAACGGACGGCGTACGCTGACCTCATAACCAATTTTTCATTCATCGATTGTTTTCCAATTTCTACAGCAATGAAGCCTCCGCTGCCGCGGATGCCGCGCTCATATACTTCCACGAAACTATTACCTCGATCCAAGCATACACTGACCAGTTTCGGTGGCTACTCTTAATTGGTAAACGCTTGTCAATAACCACAGTTGATCATCATTATCAAAATCTCTGACAACGTTTGTATGTTACTGAATGTGTCAACTTTAAACACAACAGCAAACCTTGAACGATTGCGAGGTGTCACTATATGAAACATGTTGACCACCAGTAGTTCATCGGACGAAATTGTCCGTCGACACACTCGTATGGGCAAAAAGAGAGAGTTAACAATAGCCGAACTTTATATGTCTGTACTTAACACCTTTTGTGGTTTTCTACTTTCAATACAGGAAAGACAAAAGACACGCTTTTCTGGGTTAATAAGTGTGTTGACACGATGGAGAATCTAAACAAGGACAAATCTTTACAACTTACACTTCACAGTCCTGCTACAGTCTGTAGTGGTTGCCTGATGTCGTTGAATGACGTAAATAGCAAAGGAAGACGTTACAAAAACACAGGGATTTGTAAAGAATACGTTTTTCTTCAAATGTTGCCAGATTTGCAAAATGGGGAAAGTGTCTATCGACGTGGCGTTTCCGTTCTTCTAAAACTTGCTTCCGACGATATACCTCGTCACCTAAGTACAATGCGCGAAAGGTGGATCACCCGAATACAGTTAAACAAGAATCTAACAGAAGAGACCACACAATTGCTTTCAGTAGTCATGCGGAAGATGGAGTTTAACCCAGCTGAAGGTGGTTCAGCCAGCGTGATCCAGCCAGCGGTTAAGATGAAAAGTAACTTTGTTCAAGGTGACTGTAAACTAATTCTAGCCGAACGCTTAATTGAAGATTTACCAGTTATACGTTAATTTCCTTTTATTTTTAACTAAGAGAATTTCGTACATTTGATATAAGCTTCTGGAGACACTGAATAAAAAAAACTTGGATTTAGAAAAAGAGTAAGCGTTTCATCGTGAACCCATTTTTCAGCCAGTGAACGACGAAAGTTTAAGACGTTTCACTCATTCTTTCGTAATTGCCAACAACAAATGTCTGTGTTCACTGATGATCTAATAGATCGGATTTTATCTGTTGCTGGCCATGTTTTCTGCAAAATATTAGCTACAATTAATTAACTGTGAAAAGTAATGGAAAAGCCGAGGTTGTGCTTTACGTGATTAAACTAAAAAGGTTGATATTCTTGGTTCAAACCTAATAAAGTACTCTTGTGCTCAGACGTGGAGTTACCGTACATTGATGATGACATATCTATACAAGAAGATTCAACAATGAGAAGAAGGCTATTTGATCAAGCAGTTTATTCTTGTTGTTCAGCTTCTAAAATTTGGATGGTGAATTGCTTGTACCGCCCAACACGGAAGACCTTTTTTGTTTACGTGAGTTTTTCAATTCTTTTGTAATGTCGTTTTAAAATGATTATAGTTGAGTTAGTTTAATGAGAGAGCTATATTAATATATATCTGCGCGTTGTCGTTTACTTATGAAGTCTTGTCCGTTCAGTTTACGTAAGTAAAGCCAATGGACGCTTTGAAAAAGTTGCAATATTTTTTGCAGGTCTTTCTTTTTAGTAAATACCTTCTGATAGGTTATGAAAAAAGAACTATCTAATATTATTTTACCTGACCGTTAACTAACAAAATTGTCTAGTTTTTTATTAAAAGGTCTCGTAAGCGACCGCCCCATTTGCAATACCTTGTCAATGGTTTCTTTATGACAACCCATTCTCGAAAATGATCGGACCATTGTAGTTGCGACTACTTTTATGAATTCCCGAGGTGGTGGTTTACGAGAGCTTTGGCTTAAACTCATTCAGTTCCAAATAGCGGTAACCAGCCCTTTATCCCCTCTTGTGGCAACCTAAAGTTTAGATGTACTTCTAGCCGTCTTCTCCGGAATACTGAGTAAAAAATTTTCCTTGCGCGTTCGCATTAGCCCCAACCGTGCTCTTTGGTCCTTGCTACCGCAATTACACTTTGTTTTCTCTAAGGTTGGAGATAGCCAGGATTTCTTTCCTCTTCAGTGGTTCGAAGATGAAGATTGTGAACTGTCAACAAATTGCTGGAAATGGTGCGAATATAGAGACAGATTAGGAGAAAGAGTGATAGAAGTGCAAGAGCAGTCAGGTACGTGAAAGCGGTGAGACTAATCGAAGTACTGCCACTTAAATGGTCACACTATAGGATTTCATCCACAGACTCTAAAGTTGGAACTCTCGTATACGAGACTCTATAATTCCCTATGGGAAAGAAAAGCTACTTTTGTACCACTACTTTTTGCTGCGGAGCGACCGTATGGAGCGAGCAGCAACATAATCAGAATTTAAGGGAAATATAAAAGGTGGAACGAATTCTCGAATTCATCACTTTTTACCAGAATGCGTTGCATTTTATCCACACTTTTTACCAGAATGCATTGCATTTAACCACACTTTTTACCAGAATGCATGGCGCGACGAACAACTCAAATATTCGGTGGTTGAGAGCGTGCATAGTTCTTTCGCTCCCCGGACTCAGAGTTTCTTTATGGCAAATTTTCTACCGCACGACCAAATTTAAGACACGCAGGAGTCTTTCAGATGAGTACGATGGCTAACTTGGGGATTGGATTTCAATTCCAGAGCCTTTGACTCGTCCAGGCGTTAAACTTGACGAGAAGATGAGCATTTGCTATTCGACTCCGCAACACGGGGAATATACAAATTCCAGCTTGCTAGTAGGTGATGTGAAAGTGAGAAAATGTCATGCCATGCTATTCTTAAGAACCTGTATGAGCCGAAAATGGATGTGATTTTGACCATTAGCTTCAAAATAACAGCGGAAATCGAGAAAACAAAACATACGTTTGGCGTCCTACCCTGCAGACGAGGACGTGTATCGGCGTTTTGTAAAGCATAATTATGTTCTTTCATTCATTCATTGCCATGGAATATGCGTTTACATTGTTTTTTTACTGTTAATAGCTCGGTTAATGCGGCTCGATTAAGTTTCGTGGGAAAGGCATTAAATCAAAAACTTTTCCGCAGGATTACGTAATCAGCCTCTGTGGTGCAGTGGTTAGGTGTAATCGCGTCTAGCCAAAGCTGCCGGGCTTGAGTCCTACTCAACTCTTTTTTTCCTTCTTTCTTTTTTTCCGCTTTTTAAATAACTTTTATTTAATAAAGTGCAATAAACAGCAAGAAAAGTATTGTGTTTCCAGAGAAAAGAGAGCACACCTTATATTAAATGTATGGATAAACAATCTGAATTTCTATCATGTCCTAAAATTTACTGTGGGAAAACCAGAATTGATAACCACTTGATCATTTTCTAAACAACGTTCCCACAAGTTCTTTCTATAGACTGATAGTAATTGTTACTTTTCAACATGTAAATAGGACATTCAATATCATTTTCGATTCTTTAAAGTCTCGCTGCCTAACTAATTCCAGTATCAACAGAAATTATGTGCCACAGCATTACTATCTTTTAGATACCCTAGTAATAAAAAAACTAAATAACCGCAGTTCTTTGGCGCGAAAACACATTTATTTAGAAATATTCTCCTTTCAGGGTAGGCAATAGACCAATTTCGATAAATTAAAATTCATACTTGTCCTCAAGACTCGGGGGAATGAAACAAAAGAAAATTAATGCATTATTCATTGCGAACCTCAAGATAATTAAACAACAACAACAACACTTTATTCCGTTTTTAAAAGAACAATATTACAAACATTGACAAACCGCAGTTAGCATAGCTAATCGAGGCGGGTTGTCAAGAATAAAAACAAAAATTAAGACCCTGTTTACATGGAATGGGGGACCCCGGTCTAGTGGGATAAGTTACTTTTGTTTTGTGTCCCCCAGAGCGTGAAAACAAAAGAAACTTACCCCACTAGACCGGGGTCCCCCACTCCATGTAAACAGGCCCTAACATTCGTTCCTTTGTAATATAAATGAAAGGAAAATTGTTACATAGAATGTGTAATATAAACGGTTAGTTGAAAATGAATACAATGCTTTATTGGATTGAAGTCAGGATTTTTGTCTGCTTGGACATTTAAAGTAAACAAATCTAAATCATGAATACTTGAAAGCTTCTCAAGATATTTTTTCGTCGGTAACTCATCAGACTGTAAGTTATTGAATTTTCCGTAGCAATTTAGGATATTAGCACCTTGAAACGGCAACTCTTTTAGTATAGATTTTACAGTTTCGAGTCATTCAGACTTTACCTGGAACACTGACTGTCAATAGGTCAGCATTTTCATCAAAATTAAGGCTAGCATGCAGGGTTGATATTACGAGCCTCCCTTCGTCGAGCCATGACCTCGTCTCGTGCAAGGCTGAGCGAACAAATTTACAAAGAAACTTGCTTTCCGACGATTTTAACAGTAAACTGGTACCTGGTAATCGCAGATTTCATCAATGGCTTTTCCGATGGTGTTTACTTTCGTTCTGAACGTGGCCAGTTCGACGCTAACTTGCTTCAGTTCCTTTTTCGCTTCTTCTTGAAACGAGTTAAAGTCATCAAACCCGTCACTAAGGTATTTGCGGGTTTTAACTTCTTCATCGGGAGGAGGACTAGCGTTGACGCCAGACGAATGAATCTTGATCAACTTTTCCTTGTAGATGCTTAACTGTATGCAATAGAGAATCAATTTGTGCCTTAAGGGCTTGGTTTTCTTTCTTGAGAATGGCAACAGATTCAGGCATGTTTAAAATGGGATGATAGAAAAGACTATATAAACAGAAAACTAAGTGAGAAGTTCAAAGTTTGGAGGAGGTTAACACTCAACCTCCATCATGGTCAACTCACCCGTTTCGTTTTATTCCCCAAAGCCTCAGTGCCAAGTCGGAATTTCAATAAATCGAAATTGGTCTAACACAAGTTTAACTGAAGTTTCATTTGAGACAAACTGGTATCTAAGATGGTTTGTAAAGTACATGTATGTTGCCCATTTTCCGGCTATCGAGCACCACTTCGGCCAAAAATCCTATTTCCGATATTTTTGTCGGGCTTACAGTTGTCGCAAAACCGATGATTCTGAAAAGTAAACAGACAATCCAGCTACAAATTGAACGGTTTTAGCTGCTTTGGCAAAATTTTAATTAAACAAAAATAGTTTTATTGAAGCGAGTGATACGTCAGCGCCAAACATTATGATTGTTTCACAGCACAGAAAAATGTCACGTATGACGGAAGTATCATACAAAGCCTGGTAATTTTTTGAGACATTGTAAATGAGAGCCCAAATCAGTTGATCAGGAAAACTATCACAACTTGCTAAAGTGTAGCAAATTTTTAGTTTCTGCAGTCAATATCTTAGTGAAGATTTCGACTTAATGTGCCAGCTTACAGCCACAAAGAAGCACACTGCTCTAAATCCTTTTCAGAAGAAGTAAAACCATTATTTTTTTTCTGCCTGTGATTGGGAAGTTAATGAACTGAAAAGTATACCAAAGGTCACGCAATAAAAATTATCATATTTGGCCTCATAACATTACCCTTAAAGGACATATAAAAGACTTGGGGTCGTTAAAATCACTTGTTAAAATCAAGGGAAAATATAGGTGTGAAAGCGAAAAAAACTTATTTGTAAGAGATAAGTAAGGTATAACCAATTATTACTTTTGTATTGTTTTTATTCACCATCGTTCCTTCGTCAGTAAAGCTATTGCTTAACAGCCGTTGTAGCACATGAGCCCTTTCTTTACACCTGTTTTCAATTACTTCTTTTTTGAAAACAAATCTTTTGCTTGCTCTGCTGTAAATTCAAAAAGAACGTTAACCTGGGCGTTCAAAGGATTTTTAACGCGCCTTTTTGGGGGATGGATGTTTACAAGTCATGGCGAGAGACTGGATGATGCACTTTTGTAGTTTTCGCAAGGTCATCACTAAAAATCGTGAATTTTGTAAATTTCGTAGCGGAGTTCAGTCCTGGACATAAGTGGGAAACTGCAGTAACTTTACAGTACCAAAAGTCGCATAGTTTCAAAAATACTAGGGGAAAATGACAAATCGTTTACTGATCTAAAGGTAAGTAAAAGTACCACCTTTGAACAAAATTCAGAACTTTTGTCTCTGAAGAAAAAAAATTATAGTCTTCCTAAAGGTAAGTGGCGGAAACTGGGAAGCATACTGTATGTCAATAACAGACGGCAGTTTAAACTCTAAAAGCCCTTTTGGACAAGAATACAAGTTTACTCTCCATTCACGAATTTTGCAGAAAAGAGAATTTTATTGTCTGCTTCACTATAACCGAATACACTACTGTCTTCCAATTACCGAGATGTTTCCTACCACTTCGATCTACACCTTTTTTTATGGCGGGGTGCTGGAGAGGCTTAACAACCAAGTTCAATCAGATATACGCAAATTAAGGTTTCTTTGTGCCCTCTTTCCTTTCGCAGAGTTCAAAGAATCACAGCAAGAGTCATCACATTCAAATCCACCTGTCGCTTACGTGAGTTTGCTGTAATGTTCTTGTTGATTAATTGTAAAGTAAGTTGTGAGGGCAATATTTTACTGCCGGCACAACTTTTTCGTATGTAATTATGCACTAATTTTTGTGTTTACAAGGGTACACAACATGAACGAAACTGCTTTGTGTAAATAAAACCAACTATACTTGCGAGCCAGTGGCAAGTTTACACGGTTGTCGGTTTGTCGTGATCATAAGGTTGTGCTCCGGAGTTTTATACCTTAAATAGTTGGCTTGTTTTCGATTAGCTCTTCGCTATTTGCAAGCCAGCCTAATAATAGCTATGTAAAAACAAAGTGTGAATGATAGCGTTATTGCACCTACACCAAAAGTGACAAGCAAGCAAGCAAGCAGCCTTAAAAGTTGTTTGAATAACCTCCTCGGATTCTCAGCTGGCTCGCAGCCGCAAGCTTCTAGTGGCCATCCTCTCCATGTCAACATGTATCATATAACCCTAGACTCACGATGCATAGAGGAATTAAGCTGACAGAACTACTAACCAACTCGCGGGATAATACTGGACGAATTAAACAATAGCCAAAATACAAAAACTTCCACCAATGCACATGGAAACAGAAGCATTCAATGATCGTGCAGGAAAATTCATTTAAAGGCTTACCCAGCCACTTTGCTGAGTAATAACAATAATAAAAGTTGCCTCCATAATTCTACTTGTGTGCAGTTTCATATAAAATAAGTCCTCGTTAGCAAAAAGTTGTTTAGTGACGCATTACCTCCTGGACGCAGGTTCTAGGCTGGGAACTCACATTTATCTTGTGATCAACAAGTGTGCAGATCAATTGTTACACTAGGGTGGACAGTACCTATGTGTGAAGGAGCCATGAAGCTACCTCATTTATAGGAAATAACATTAATCTATCCCAGATTAAAAGATACACCAAGGTTTTTTTGAAGTAGCAAGGCTGTGCTCTAAGAAAAATTGAAAGGAGCCCATTGCTCTGAACCTGTGAAATGCTGGGTGCATAGCAGATGATTTCTATGAAAAAATTTCCTAGTTGCCCCGGAACAATAGTTAAGTACTATGGGCCAACCGGGTGCTGGTAGAGTACAACCTTGTGTAGTGAAACATAAAGCGGCAGTGATGAGCAGGAACCATGAAACTATCTCACCAATGAATAATCACCACCTTGGTGATTATGCATTTTTAACTTGCAATCTGTCAGTCATATCACTTCAGTGATTCAGTGCATGAGTGCCCCTGTGTTGGAGTTTACATCTCAAATTATGATATACTCTAATAAATATTATAAGCATTCAATGCGAGAATGCAAAACTTTTCTTTATTCACTCAAAAGAATAACAATACACAGCATTCAAGACAGGATCACAATTTTATTTTAAAGACCACATCAGTAAATGGTAATAATTCTTGCTGTATTTTACAAAATTGCAAATGAAAATAGTTTTTTTCAATAAACTTGTGTGGGCTCTCTTGCTTTAGCTTGTGGTTTGAACTGACAATGTGTTTGTGCAGTTTAAATCAGGCTCTGAGTTTTGGGAAGACTAAAATTGAGAAAAAGCATACCTTGTGTTTAGTGAGGGTTATTGCGACCAGAATGTTGGAAATACTAAGGAATTAACTGTATATTAAGGTCTCGGTAAAGGAAAACGAGGTGCCCACAGAAAAAAATTCTAGTCGCGCGAGTATTTTCGCTACAAAGGCAAGTTATATATCAAATTAAAGCTAAAAGACTAAATTACCTTATGAAAGATTTTATTTCATCGAATTTCAAAAGGGGCTTAAGTTTTTTGCTCTCGAACTCAGAGGTATCGAGTTTACTGCTGAAGCTCCAGCCCTTTCGCGTTGTTAAATATTCACTTCCTTTTTATTGCATCTGATTGACAGATAAAAGACCTAAAAAAGGGTGTGAGGAAATTTGCATATGTCTCGTATTAGCGGAATTATTGCATTTCAAACTAAAAAGTCGAATCTCGAGCGCGATTTACGCAAAGAAACTGGCATAAAATGAGTTACAAAGGGAAATCGGAAAATTCCTCACACCCTTTTTGAGTCTATATCATTATCCATCATATCTGAAAGTTTCAAAGCGATAGCTTAAAACCTGTCCCGACTGGAGGTCGGAGAATTTTGATTTTTGCGTCTAAAATAGAGTGAGAGAAAATCAGCTCTAAAGATTTAGGGCGAGGTCCACGCTTGGCTGGTTAGCTCAGAAAAGGCTCATTTTAGAAGGGTTAAAAAGCACTTTCTGATTTTCTTTTTCTTCCAAAATAAAATTTAGGACCCACTCATGCCAAAAATCCCAAAAAAACAAAATCGAGCAATGTACTAAAATTTTCATTTACCGAGACCTTAAAATATCATACCATTCAGATATTTGCACAATGATCCCGAGAGATTTTAATATTTTATAATAAAAATTTACAAATAGAACTTCAAAGCTTTTTATAAAAGCTCAAAGGAATGTTAATAGTGGTAACAGAACAAATAGTACACTACAAGAGCAAGTTGTGAGCAATAATAGTGTTTACAAAAGTAGAGGACTCTCTGTGATCTGTTGCCTTAGGGCAAAACATTTCTGGAGGTTTCCTAAAAGTTTCGTAGTCGTCGCGTTCCAGTCTAAAAAAGGTCTAAGAAAAAATTTATCTTCGATGACTTCGCCAGAAGTAAAAGCAAACATCACAACCGGCGACATAAATAAACTTAACAATGAGCATTAGGTGCATTCACGTACGTTTTGCGAACTGTAAGCTTACCTCCATTCGCTACCTTCAAGATCTATTGACTGATCTTTCTTCCATATGCTAGCAAAAGATCCAAGTTTAATTTTTCGCCACTGGTTTGCAGCTATTGCAGCACTCTTCGAAGTTATGAAATCGAAAAGAAAACAGCGAAACTGTCAGCTGGAAACAAACCTATTCCGGAATCTCTCATTCAATTGGTCAGACTCGCGTGCAGCTCAGTTCTATCGACTGAAGCGGTTGCTGCACACATACGGGGCCTAATGTAGTAAGATCGAAAGAGTTTTCCTAAACAACAACTCGTTGAAGTGGGAGGAAAGGAAACATTGTTTGAGCAGGGCTCTTTCAAGAAATTTGTCATGCTGTGTGTAATGCGTTAAGAAGGTGACGTCACAAAGCAATTGTCTTGTGTTCTTGGTAACCAGGCCATAGGAACATAGCGTTGGAATGTCGGACGAAAATTAATGGTTTTTGAGCGCAAAAAAAATACCACTTTCCTTATTCGTATGAAGCTATAATTTGCACACCATGTACTTCAAGTACTAAACTGCCAGTCTAGCGAAAACAAATGGTAGTCAAGGATTCGATCGTTGTAGCACTTTAAGGTCCCTACTATTACAGACCCTGATACTGACTTAATTGCAGTCAATGTCTTTAATCTAGAGGCTTCGATGGTCTGTAAAGCTCATATATGACTGCTTTTGTAGAAGTTTTGTTAGTTATATGTGGAAACTGACAGTGTGTCATTCTTTGTGAAAAAATAGCAGTTGTAAAGCAAAGAGTGTCCTTCATGGTGCAACATGGCCAAAGATTCTGAGGTTTAATGTTGCAGTCACTTAATGTTATATATGTTGTATTTTTATATATTTCGGGGTGTGATTCTATCCAGGGAACTGATTTCTTAGAATTTTCATGGCCCAACATGGCACACATTTAATGGTATATTCAGGACCCATGAAATCTAAATTATCATTTCTCATTTTTCACGACCCCTGAAATCTCTGAGTGTAATTTTCACGGCCCATGGAATCTATATAATACACCAACTTTTCATGGCTCATGAACTCTAGTGCCAGATATTTCATGGCAATTTCATGAGGCATGAAACCCATTTATCAACTCTTCATAGAAAATTCATGGCCTGAAAAATAGGCCGTGAAAATGAAATATCTGTATTCAGGGCCTTAAAAAATGCTTTCTTGGGTTTTTAATAACATTTTCATGGGATTTTCATAACATTGTAGTTCATAGTGGAAATGGCGTCAACGTCAAAGACAAAAAAGACCAAAGGAAGTTCGGCTCGATTCCCAGAGCTGTTATGGGCGATGGTTAACAATGAAGATGCGATTAAGGAATGCGATAAACACATATTGTCGAATGAGGTATTTTAATTGAAACATTTAAGCTTACTGTTTCAGAACATTTCTTTTATTACTGACCTGCACACCTTTTTTATAGTTTTGAAAGCTGTATTAAAATGATATAAAATGATTCAAAATAATCATTCTTAGCTTATATCACATTCCCTATTTTTTGCAGGGTGGAACTGGTATCATGATCAAAAGTCGAAACGAACTTGCCTCCCACTTGCTTCCTAAGTATTTCAACACTCGACACTTTGCAAGCTTCCATCGTCAACCAACTAATTGTAAGTATACAATCAGTTTTTGCACACAACTGCAGCATCCCTTGCGCAGAAAAATAAAAATTTTATAATTGAAGACGAAAGAACTCAACCGAGAGTAATCTCGCTTCCAGCAACATGTTTGCATAAACCAAACGTTAATCGTGCTGCAAGATACTTTAATTTCAGATAATAGATAAATGAATAATGAACAAAATATTTTGCAAATCTTAGCTAAGAGAAGAAATGAAGCGATTTCAAGGCCTCTGTCATCTCTGTAAATCTCTGATCAGCAACTGGTAGCAACAAATGTTGGATAATGCATGGTTTAATTCTACGTTTGAACACGCCACCTCTGGGCAATCCCTGGGGTGAGTCTATTCATTTGGGCTTGGGGGTGGAGATTGGTTTGAAGCAGCCCTATCCGAGGGGTAGGGGGAGGGGTAAAGGTAAAGGTTAAGGCACACAGGAGGCTAAAGGTCCAAACGGTTGGACCTTATACCGGTTTCTTGTAACGCGAAGCATGCTTCGAAGTATTGCTACTCCCCTTTGGACGGGATGCTGGTCCATTGTAGGGCTACCCCCACCAGTATATCGCCGGTACCCATTTGTACACAGAGGGAATTAAGAAGTGGAGTAAAGTTCGTTGTCTAAGGAAACAATGCGACGGGCCACGCTTGAATCCTGGACCTAGTTCGAGTTGTTCACCGCTCTGCACCACATACCTCCATGGTAGGGGGAGGGGCTTATTAAAAATTACTTCTCATTGTTCTTGTGAAAGACATTTTATTCTAAACAATAGTCATTTGCATATGTGGAAGTAAAGTGAAACCTGACACACATTGCCATTGTTTTAAGGTTGTGTTTCTTTGAAGCTTTTCCTTTTAAATGCATAATTATTCACCTTAAAGCACAGGCAGCACAATCTCAGTATGAAAGTTTAATCATTAATATGTGTGGTATCATATTGCGTTATCCTCAAAATGGCCATGATTATTAAGGATCTGTATACAGTGTTCTCCCCTAGGATCTTGCGAAGGCCCGGGGGTATTTCGACAGTGATTTTTAATAGTGTTTGTACGCCTGCTGTAGCCTGAAAAAAAAATTATCGACTTAAGAACTTAGTTTAAGTTGTTAAAAGAGAACTGGATTTGCTATGACAAGCTTTTCGTCTTTGTTCCGCACGTTGACTGCGAGCGAAAGAATTTCCTTTAGTCTTCAATGTTTAAAGCTCCTTAAAGGGCCATTCAACAAAATAAATGCATCACATTTTTGAACATATTCATGCAACGATAAACCACGTAGCAAGCCTAGCTGAGAAACTTGTTGCCTATAAAGCTGCTCCCCCATTGGAGGACTTAAGGTGACTCGACTCAGTTTTTTGGGGGCGGTACCATCCTATTTTGAAGCTCTCTGGTATCCCCACCTTTACTTTTATCGTAAGTATAACACATAGAATGGATAACATATAGATCAATCTACAATATAACATAAAATGTTTGGCGATCGGAGTAAATGTCACGTGGTTATAATGCCACGCCCCTTTGAGGTCTGAGTCGAAAATCTGCTGTTGCCGGCATTTTTTCGTGAAAATCTCTCGGCTACACATAGTGCGCGTTAGTGCCTTGCACTGAACAGAGTTTCACCAAAATCGCAAAGACCCAATTCGAGAAATTCAGCGGTTTCCAAATTTAGGTCATAATTTATGCGAAAATGATAAGCAAACTTTACACGGATTATATCTAATAAACTATGAGATTCATCTCTTTATTTTGGGCATCGTTATAACAGATGGGTCCTTGCAAGTCAGCAAAACGCTTTAGGGCCTTGTAAATGCGCGCGATTTCGAGCAAAGCAAACATATAGAAATTATAGTTTTCGCTATTTGTTGACGTTTGTTAGCGTTTAAGAGTCCTTCTCACGAAAAAAGCATTTTCTTAAAAATTCGTAGTTTTTTTTCCTTCAAATTTTTTCAGGGCCACAATTGATTAACTAACTACCCGGATTCTGAATTTGATGGTCATTGAAAGACTGTGACATTATCTTCTATAAGCCCAAACTTGAGTAAACATTGAAGATTTTTAGCGTTTTGGCTGAGTTTGTGCTTTGGGAGTTGTCTATTGTTTCTATACAGCATTCTTGTTCAGCACGCGTGCAATGACCACGCTTGGCTGACTTCCGAATGCTCACCGAGATATGATAATTTAGTATGAGAAAATAGAAGGGATTCCCGTCACGAGTTGGTTTAATTATTGGCTTGCATTAAACCCATGAAAAAATGATATTTTTTTAATAGTAAGTAGATTTAGTGTGTAGCACTTCTTGATTTTTTTGCAAAGGCACAAGGGGCACGAGAATTGATTAAGAATTGTGAGTTAAACCTCTATGTATCACGCGATGGCCTGTCTCACTGTACCAAAATTATGATATCTCGGTGAGCATTCGGAAGTCAGCCATTATAACCACTCCGATCACCAAACATTTTATGTTATATTGTAGATTGATCTATATGTTATCCATCCTATGTGTTAGACATACGAAAAAAGTAAAGGTGAGGATACCAGAGAGCTTCAAAGTAGGATGGTAAAAAAAAAAAAAAAACTGGGTAGAGTCACCTTAATGAGCCTCCCAAGAGGGTTATATGATTTTGCACTCCTGATTAAGAAAGGAGTTTCTATGTTTAATGTGTTTCCTAGAACTGGGTACCATTGTAGAATTTCAAATTCACCTAAGGAAAATAATGAACAACACTTCTACATGTGAATAAGGGCCCATATGTGGAAATGGTTGCCACATTCAATACCCACCTAAAACATGGCTTGAGTAGTAGTTTAGAACTGGTCTTGTTTGCTACTTGATCCTTTGAGCTGAATGGGAGACATCCCTCACATGAAACGTCCTCAGAGGCAGGGAGTGATGAGAGGCAACAGGGTACATATTTACAGGCTTGTAATAACATAGAAAACATCGTGTTTTAAAAATTGATTCTCTCTTTTTTTAGCAGGTGGATTTAAAAAACTCCAGGATGTGGAGAGGGATGATTTTGTGAATGAAAACTTCAAAAGAGGCTTTCCAGAGTTGCAGAAGAATATCACCAAGAAAAAGGTGAGTGCACAGGTCATGATCGAGTCTTCTATTGCAATTTTAGCACTTGATATTAATAAGCCTAAATTCATTCCTGAGTGCACATGCATATGGCTGATGTAAAAATTCACATTTTAATTTTTCTTCTTGTAGAATCCAGGGGTTTCAATAAAAGTTTAAGTAGTCAGCAGGTTTGAGTATAGTAACCGACTTTATCAACAAGAGTCTATTGGTCCCATTCTTCTAGCGGGGTCTGGGGCGGATCAATAACAGTGTATATAATTATGTGATGACAGTCAATGATTTAATTACGTTCATTTGCACGTCAACAAATTCGGTGTAAATTAACCTACATGTATGAGGAAATGTGTAAAAAATTGATCGGAATTAGAGTTAACATATAAAACATAAAACATAAAACATAAAACCTGTGGCCAAACACTTTTATGAAATCATAACAGGAGTTTACATTCAGATTTTATGATAAATGTTTTTGTTTATAGCATTTTAATATACAGATTTAGCCTAAATCCAGGGCTAAAAGCGAAGCTCCAATTAATAAATTTATAATTTAAATCAAACAATAAATTTTTAATCCACAAATCAGTTAACTTGGGGGCACATTCATGTGGCCTTTGAGGGAAAGGCTAAGTTATTTTAGAGTGAAACATCTTACATCGAATTGATAACCTTCTATGTACACCCAAAAAATAGTAAACATCTTCGATCACATTCAAGATCACAGTAGATTAGGCCTCGAAAACAAATTCTTGGAAAACAAATCACGCCGAATTTTTTTGCGTTCGACAGGTTTACTTTACAAATTGTTGCCAACAAATCTGGGGGTGTTTAAACCAACCTTTTATAATTTTTATACATCACATTTGAGGGGAAACAGTACTATTTATCATACAGACCTTGGACAGAATACGGTATTTCACAATTTTTCAAGACAAATTGCACTCAGTCAATATTCAGGACGATCAATCGTGGGTTTAAAGCGAAACCGTTCAAAAATTTCCAAAATCACCCATACGGCCAGCTGGTTTTCGTTTCTATAGTGCGAGCTGTCAGTATGGTCGAGTGTTTGAATGAACTTTAATAGAGTTACTCTTCAACATAATAGCGAATTAATTTTTTTTTGTTATTTAATAGTTTTAGTTATAACGATGTGTAATCTTATAAAGCGTTTGATACGCGCGACATTTTTTAGTACTCCTGCAAGCGATGTTCATGAACGATGAAAACAAACGGCACGCACAAGCGATTAAAATTGCAAGAGAGACTACTAACAATCAAAAAAAGAAATAAAATTCGGTGAAACATTTACAGAGACAACAATTTTCATTCACGAAGACAAGTATTAAAGTGTCTCTAAGAATCCTGAGTCTTTAAGCGTAAAGCTTAAGCCGGCTTCCCGGTGCGGTGTTTACTGTTTTCGAAGGTGAACTCCTCTAAGCAAGAAAATCGCTCAAAGTTTTCTTTCTACAGCCAAATTTATAACTAAATATTCTTCGGATCGTTTTCTTTCTATCTGTGGTGAGCAAATATATCTGAAGGCTTTTTAAAGTTCTGTAAGCTTAAATCAAACCTGATACTAGGTCAGATCCTACAAAGATGCATAAACTTGCCGCACAAACTGTCAGCGTGAACTGTGCAAGACTTCATTAAATTAGATATAACAAAAACAAACATCAAATACAATAATTACTCAGGCTTACCTTTCGAGATTCAGTTTCTGAAAGCTATCAAGGAAGGCCACAGTTGTTTGAGACTTTTAAACCCTCTTACGCATTTAGCAAGGTGAAAAACGAAAACGATGCCATCCGAAATCGAATTACCGAATTTTGACAAGCGACGCATTTCTCAACCAAAAACCCAGTAAACAAACCAGCCATGAATAACAGAAGACTCTTGATAGCAGCTGTATTTCATTTTGCACATCCAGAGGAAAAAGACAGTTAAAAACATCACAAGTTGACACAAACCTCTGTCAGCTTCAGCTGTCAAAGTAAACAACTTTCAATATGCTGCATAATTTTTCCGCATGAACTCACCTGTCAAATTTTGACCAATCAGAGTATAAAAATTGGACGTAGAGCGTGACCAACGCGTGGCCATGGTAAGATAAGGTCTTCCCCGCCTGTACTTTTAAAAAAACTGGCTGAATTTTCGCTTTCGAGGTCAGTTTGAAATCAAAATCCTAATAGTACGGGGCCATAGTGACATATTAAAACACAACATATTTGATATGAATGCTTGGAAAAAATAAACTTGAGCCTTCAACCATTTGAAACTTTGTAATTTGTCAGCGGATAACTTCAAAAAAATACTCGACCTCAATAAGTCGACACTTGGGCCCGCTGTACGGTCAGGTGATACTGGTCAGCGGATGCCCTGTTTTGATAGCTGTCAACATTGATGTGTAATTAGTTTTCTCTTGGGCTCCCAAACTAGCTAAAAGTGTGAGAGTAAACATTGGTTGTCCTGTGGTGCGGACGGACGGTCGGTCGGTCGCTCGCTCGCTCGGTGTACGGTCACGTGATTACCAAATTTTCTGGAATGGGTAGATTACCACATTTCCTTAGAGCGCGCGCGTGGAGCTCCGCTATAAAATAACTGAGATAGTAGGCGCGTTCTGATTGGTTGAAAACCTATGGTTTATTGTGCCGGTAAACTCACAGAAAACTTAAAGTTAATTTATAAAAGCAATAGACCACACTTTCTATTGGGTTTACCGGCGTGATAATCCACTTAAGATGTTGGGAGAACACTCGGAAAGCCTGTAAATCGTGTTCTCGTGTTCTCCCAACATCCCGCGTGGGTTATCACGCCGGTAAACCCATGGAAAGTGTGGTCTGTTGCTTAAATAAAAACTAGTTGCCTCTTCTTTCGGGAAAAAAAAAATAGCCGACTTTTTTGACTAAAGTAGCCGACGCATTTCTTTGGTTGTTGGTGCTTATTGAAACCCCTGAGAATCCAAAGAAATAAAAAGAACCATCCAAAAGTTCTGCCAAATAGGTTTCATTTGAACGGTAACATCATTTGGATTTACAGATTTACATTAAAAACATGTTGATCGACTTCAATTATTTCATAATCTGTATTTGTACATACTTCAATCACTTTGACTGTTTAGTTAAGTATTACTGTTCTATGCACCCTTATTTTTTTCTTTTTTTTATGGGGTAGGGGGGCTGATGGGGTTTGATGGCTAATCACTGTTAGAAATAAAATTAATATTGAACCCCTCTTCATTAAAAAGTTTTTCTCCTGTCCCCTGCCCAGGTTGATGACCTCTGCCCCCCCCCCTCACAAAAAAAAAAAACATTCAGAGTCATAAAGCTGAACTTAAATTAAACTTAATCCTTGAGGTCAATTTCAACATTGTATTAGGTTTCAGAATCAGTCCTGTTGAACACCTAACTGTAAAGTAAACCCAGCCACCCCAGCCACCCCCAGCCACCCCAGCCACCTGATACAAATGAACAGCATGGATGCTACAATGTAACTGTGCAGTTTGCTGTCACTTGTATAGTGACAGCCACCTTAACAACAATCATACATGTATTTCCATGTAACGGTAATGTTCTTGTATTTTAACACAGCCACCTGAAAAGCATCAAGCAGGCTCTGACAGTGGTGGCATAAAGCAAAAAGGTACAAGATTGATACTATTGAAGTGTCCTTATCAATAATAAAAACAAGTAGTAGCACATGCTATGACCGACTCTTAAGGGATGTATAGCTACGGAAAATCTAAGCTGGCTTTTTTGATAGTCAAAGCTTGCTTTTTACTCAACTGCACCTTCAAAGTTTAACTCCGTGTCCTTATTTTCCAGTGTAATTTGAGCTGGTGGTAAGCTACGTTTAAGCTGATGAAATGAGACGGTAGCAGCTACCCTCTTAGTGACATCCCTTCTCTTTTATCGTTTTTGTCAAGTTTGACTTTTAACATTAATCCTGGAATATCAACTACACATATATGGAAGTCAAAAATATTGGAACCTTTCCTTCCGCCTCCCACCCTAAACAATGTTAACGTTTGAGCAGAAGTAAATAAAAAGAAAACATAACAAACAACACAACACAAGTGGAGTGGAGTGGGGGAATGAAAGGATGAACCCAAAGCCGATCAAAACGTTGTCATTAGGAGCAGAGTCCTATGTTCTTCTTAGAGTTACTTGGAGTTTTGCCATAGACATTCTTTTGACTTCCACTGTAGGCTCACTCTTCAGCCTTGGGTGTCTCGATGCGCCTGCCGTACTCCCCACCCGTCGGCTGGGCGTATGGGCTAAGTTTCTGGTACATGACATCAAAGTCACTAAAGTCATTTTCCTTGCTGAAAGCTTGTTTTCCACAAAAAGGAAACTGAGTATTCTTTTAAACCTTCTCTTTTTGTCTGCGTCTTCTAACAGTGCACTTTTAATCAAAGTATGCAAAAAACAAACTCTAGCTACAGTCTCTAAGGGAGTTGGTTCACGTGTATGAGGGGAAATCCTCGCGCATAAATTACTCAGTAAACATCATGATGTCATGTACAAGAAACTTAACCCGTGCGCCCAGCCATTGGGTGGGGAGTACTACAGGCGCATCGAGACACCCAAGGCTAGAGACTGTGCCTAACCATGGTTTTGATTGTGGAGTAGGACCATTAGTAGCACCTTGGTTGCTAGTGACTGATGCATTAAGATCTTCTCTTATGGTGGTGGGTTTTGTTCCTTAATGCATCGTTGGTATTACTGCCCTTGCAGGGTTTCTATTTCCTTTTCATTACTTGTTTGAGTTAAAAAAAAAAAAAAAAATTGGTCGTATTTCTTCCTTCTGTTTATTGTTTTTAACTTGTTCAGGTGTTTACCGATTATTTTTAGTTGTGGGCTTGCCGTAAATCTAACCGTACACGGGAGAACGTACTTAAACGCTTATCCGTTAAACGGCTAAAAACTTACGGGTAGTCAAGGGATAGTTAACGGCCTTGAAAGCGTTCTAACGTTTTGTCCTAAAGGTCTAACGACTGGCAT